GAAGATCAGTCAAGCTTAGTCTTATAAAACTTAACCCAATTTAACCTATCTTTACACTTAATTATAATGTTCTAGAAGATGAGTTGTGATTTGTTTTTTATACCTTTATTGGGTGTGAACGAATTGCTTGAAATCACTAACACTAGAATTAAATAAGAGAAATTTTTATTTCTACTAATTTTATAACAGATAATTTTATTTTGACAATATTTTTTATATTCAAAAGATAAATAAAATGAAAGAGATAAGTGTGTAATAAATTAAAAGATTATAATACAGAGAGATATAAAGATTTAAGTGGTAAAGAAGTACAATTAAAAGATATGATGTGATAACCTTATTATTTTTCTTAATTAAAAGAGAGATAAGAATATATATATATATATATATATATATATAAAATAAGACGTGTGATGTGATGAAGTGATAGAAAAATGTTATAACAATAAAATAATTTATAAAATTTAGAGTTTTTAAAAAGAATCTTATGAATAAGTGTTCTAAGATCACTAACCAATAAATTAATTAAAAATTATAATAAAATTGTGTAAAAAATAATGATAGACGCATTAGTACAAACATATATACATAAAAAAATTATTTTTAATATTTTAAATTGGTATCTGAAAACATCTTAATAATATTTTAATTGAATTTTGGATTATCATCTGTGTACGATGAAATGTGATTATCATTAGTTAGTGGCTTATCCACTAAATGTTACTTATTTAAGTAAAATTGCGAATAATACATACATATACAGAGAAGTAAAGTATCTAGTACTTTCGTCTGAATAATATTTTTGACTTTGATTTGAATAGCAATTAGCTAAAAAACAGCACAAATTAACAAAAGCTCAATTGAATTGTCGGCACTTTCCTGATAAACCACAGCATTTCACGTAAACAAAGTCTATAAATGCAAAACAAACAAAAAGAAAAAGCTCCATATTGTGCTTAGACAAAACAAGTTATCTTTGAAGCAACCGAGTTTTATTTAATGATGGATCTTAAACAATTTTTGCCTTCACGTTCATCTTTCTTTAATTTTACTTTCCTACTCATCTTTCAGTCCTCTTTCAACAACGAAACATAACCTTCTTTAGGATACCGACAGGGAGACAGTACGTAGTAGCACTATATTGTACGACTAATAATAACATAGATGCACAAAACCCTCTTAGCTAAATTTCTCCACCTTAACCAATCTCTCTCTAAACATGCAATATGCATTATATTTGTATAAAAGAGATCAACATTTCTATATTTTTAATTTTGGTAAACATAGTTTCGTAGCATGATTGATCATTATAATTAAAAAAGAGCTAGAGAGATTATCATTTTTTTTATACTATTAAGTGCTTATTAGTTTACCTAATGAAAGGGAGGTTACACATTTTTTTAATATATGAACAGGCACTAAATTGTATATATTGCTTATATGAGAAGAGATTTTAAAAAATAGAGAAAAAAAGAATATGGGTGATATGTGATATTATTTCTGTTTTTATTTATTTGTCTAAAAAATAAATTACACACATCAATAAATTAAATCGTTTTATAGAATCATTTGATTATTTCTTATTTTAATTCTTTGTTAGTGAGTCTTTTTTTAATATTTAAAATATTCAATTAGTATACATTATTTATTATACTTAAAATTGATATGAATAAAAAGTTATTAATAAAAATAATAATAGTTATATTGTTTTAAATTTATACATAGACAGATAAATAAGGGTAATTTTTTTCTAAACATATATATAAAAACAGGGATAATATTAAAAAGTGTAATATTTCTATAAAAATATATTTCTATAAAAATAATCTCATAACTATTTCTCCAGTCATGATGGCATCGAAGGTTTGATGAATATAAATCGTATTGATCAGAAAGAACTAAATTTATTAAACTTGAGTATGAGGTCCTTACAAACACATGATACACGTACAACAATATACAAAGCAATTCGCAACATTAGTTTTCTTATCCCTGTTTGGGTCAATGAAAATAAGCGGATAAAGCAAAAAGAAAATGAAAAAAAAAGAAAAAAAATTATATATATATATATATATATATATATATATATATTAAAAGTTTTCTTTTCTTTTTATTTTTATTTTTTCAACCAAATTTAAGCAGGTCTGATTTTCATAGTTATTTTTTAATATATAAGTTGTAAATTAAAAATATATAAATTTATATATCATGTTTAAATTATATATTATTCAAAAAATAATATGAATTATAGATATTTATTTATTTTATATTATATATTATTTTAAAAATAAACATTCAACCCATCATACGTAACATGAATGACTTGCATCATTTAGATAAATCTTTAAAATTTTACAGCAATTTAATAATCTTAAGATTCCATTAACCCCGTTACTTCTCCTTGTTACCCGTAAAACCACTTAAGTAAGCGGTTGCCGGGATGTAATGCGCCAACATTAATATGGTAGAATTGTTAATTGGATAAACTTTCACAATTGTCAATGAGGTGTTCTTTAATTTTGTATAATTAAATGATAAATTTTAAAATATATTTAAAAATATTCAATAAACATATATAATTTTATATTTTATTATATTTATATTTTGTCTCTCTTCATGGATTAAAAAAATTTTTAAATTATAAAGCATCTCCAAGTTGGAGACTCCAACAGTATCCAAAACAAATTATTCCAACTTTTTCTAAGAACGTGTTCATTTCGAACTGATCTAATTTTTTCTTCCAAAATTATAGATAGAAAAATGTTGATATTAAGTATTAACTTATACATTTATATCTTTTAATAACTTTTATAAAATATAATATTAATCAATTTAGCAGTTAAATTATTTTATATCATATTCATGATTGTATATCATATTTAATATAATTAAGACATTTAGATGTATGTTATTTAAAATTTAATATTTATTTATATTTTAAAAATATATTATCTATTAAAATAAATTAATATGATAAAATATTTAATAATTTAATTTTTAAATAAGTTTTTATGAAGTTAATTTACTTGATAAATTTTTTTTATTCAGCTGTTAAATTAATTAATTTTTTACATTTTATAAAAAATTATTAATTACAGTGAGTTTTCAAGTTTACCACACTGATGGACATTATTATCTCTTAGTAGTATAATCTTCCGCCCTCAAACCTGTGGCTCATATTAATGTTGCAAAATTTAATTCATCGACCTGTAAACTCAATCTCACCAAGTTTTGAACCATTTTACAGTTCTATTTGGAATTTTTTAAATCTTTTTTTTTTCAAATAAACAGTAACATCTTTTTCTTGAAGAAAACACGATGAGAACATTTTTGTGGAATTTTCAAAAACCGGGTGAGTTTAACAATTTGGATTCCAATTTTTACCAGTTATTATTTGGATATTTTCTTGAATTAATGGTATTAGTATATTTTTTGTATGTTATGTGATGTGGTACTCTAAAATTTTTTTATGGGTATTGTAAAAAAAAAAATTAAATTAATAAAAATGAAACATATGGCAAGTTAAAAAAATATTATTATATATAATTTATTTAAAATTATAGTATTTATATTATTTGTTTCGTAGTCCTATTATTATTTTATATATATATATATATATTGAATTTTTTATTTTATTTTTCTTTCATTTTTTTATAAATTTTAATTTTGAATAAAATATAATTTATATTTAAGTAATTTTTATTTATTATAAATAAAAATAATTATAATGTAATATATTAATATAATAATTAATTAATTAAATATTAATTATAATAAAATTAAAATATGAAAAATAGATTAATATAATATTATTATTTTATTTTTAAATTTTAGTTCATTTAATTTTGACTTTTAAATAAAATATAATTTCTATTTATCATAAATAAAAATAATTATAATATAATATATTAATATAATAATTAAATAATTAAATATTAATAATAATAAAATTAAGAATATAAAAAATATATTAATAAATTTATTATTTAAATATATGTCTAAATATTATTAGTAAAAAAATTTCATGGAAGATAGATAACCTTTGGTTACAATAGAATTTACCTTCTTGTATGGAGCGATTTACAAGGAGACAAGGGATGCAATCATATAGGTTTGTCTAATTCCATTATTTGATAGTAGGCCTTGTCAAGTGACTGCAACTGCATGCCTTTTTGTTTTCAAGTTAAAACTCTTCCATTCTTTCTACCCTTTAAAAGCGACAACTATATTAAGGTAGGGATCATATCAAATTATCAATTGTTATTTACACGTTATTTTTATTACATTTTTCATTTTTATTTTATTTTCCAATGATAAATACTCATTCAAAAATTCATTCTCTTTCTAGCTTCACATACTATGCTACGTCATTGTCAAATGAAATTGTGTATATCTTTTCAATCCTTCCTTCTTTTTCCTTGTCTTCTTTCTCCCTATTTTTCCTAACAAGCCAAATTCAAGTCATCTTGGTAGTTCTTCGATTGTGTCACAATGGTCGCAGCTTATAACATGACAATAAATGAAAGTTGCATGCTCTGGCATGATACGAACAGTTCTGTTATTCTTACATCATTAAGTAAACGATCAATTTTTATGCAAAAGGATTGGTCCCCATAAAATAAAAGAAAGTAAAAAGTGGTCCAAGGTAAAAGATATATATACATAAACTATTTAAAAATTTAATAAATGTTTGATGTAGAAAAAGGAAAATGAAGTGATACAATGAATGTATATCCGATTCCATCCTCTACTCTAATGTGTATTGACTTCATGGTCCCTACCCCTTGTGCGAACACACCTTGACATGTGCCTCTATATATACCACTTTCTCATTCAATTCCCCCCACTACCAATAACAATCAACACCACCTTCTCCCCCTCACAAAGATTGTTATACTCTTATTCCTTCTCTTTGTTCACCTTTCTTCCTCTATATTATAAACACGCTTATTCTTCAGTTCTTAATTAATCTCTTCTTGATCTCAACACTGAAAAACACCATGCCAGAGGCTCCTAGAGACTCCACCATAGACTATGACCTGTTAGAAAAAAACAAGAGAATTCTCGAGTTCATAGAGGATGCTACTTCCAACGCAGATGAAATCCAGAAAAACGTTCTCTTCAAAATTCTCTCTCGCAATGCAAACGTTGAGTACTTACAACGACATGGTCTCGGTGGCCACACCGACCGTGACACCTTCAAGAAGCTTCTCCCTGTCATATCCTACGAGGATATCCAACCTGACATTAACCGCATCGCCAATGGTGACTTTTCTCCAATCCTTACCTCACACCCCATTTCAGAATTTCTCACCAGGTGCCCATATTTTTTTATATTATTTTTTTCTTACAAATTACATTCACATCCACTACACCTTAATCAAACTTAATCGCATCATTTTTTATTTTGTACAATTTTTTCTTAATTTATACAATTATATATCGTTATATATTTAAGAGGAGCTCCTCAGTTTAAGCTAAGTAATGTAAAAAAAAGTATTTGATGCAAATTTACATTTTTTTTTTGTGACTTTTTCTTGAATATGTTATTTTATTTTGTGATATTAATTAAATTAATGGGTATGTTTTGGTTTATTGGGTTTTGTAGCTCAGGGACATCTGGGGGTGAGAGGAAGCTGATGCCAGCAATTGAAGAGGAGCTAGGAAGGAGGTATTTGTTGTATAGCCTATTGATGCCTATAATGAGCCAATATGTTCCTGACTTAGAAAAAGGAAAAGGAATGTACCTAATGTTCATAAAATGTGAGTCCAAAACACCTGGAGGGATCATGGCTAGGCCAGTTCTCACCAGCTATTACAAGAGCTCCTATTTTAGGGACAGACCCTATGACCCTTACACAAACTACACAAGCCCAAATGAGACTGTTCTCTGTCCTGACTCCTACCAAAGCATGTACTCCCAACTCCTTTGTGGCCTTTGCCAAAACAAGGAGGTGCTTCGTGTGGGGGCTATCTTTGCTTCTGGCTTCATTCGTGCCATTCGGTTCCTTGAGAAACACTGGGCTCTCCTTTGCAATGACATAAGAACAGGCACCATCAACCCCTTAATCACTGACACCTCAGTGAGAGAGGCTGTGATGAGGATCCTCATGAAGCCTGACCCTATGCTTGCGGATTTCATCCAAGCCCAGTGTAGTAAAGGTTGTTGGAAAGGGATCATTACTATGCTTTGGCCCAATACTAAGTATGTGGACGTTATTGTGACCGGGACAATGTCACAGTATATTCCCACTTTGGATTACTATACCAATGGCCTCCCACTTGTGTGCACCATGTACGCTTCTAGTGAATGTTACTTTGGCGTCAACCTCAACCCCCTTTGTAAACCCACCGATGTGTCTTACACCCTTATCCCCACCATGTGCTACTATGAATTCCTCCCGGTCAACCGAACCAATCAGGTCAACGCTCCTCTCAGTCACAAAGAACAAGAAGAATTGGTGGACCTTGTTGATGTCAAGCTTGGCCAAGAATATGAAGTCGTCGTTACAACTTACGCTGGCGAGTTTCTTTCGTCACAACAAATCTTAGCTGAAGTTTCTTAGATATTTTTAGTCCTATTTTTTTAACTAAAATTAGACTTCTACTTTAGCAATATGCAACAATTTTAACAGTTGGCATTTTATTTAAGTAAAAATTTGATTTTGATTGAAAAATAGCACTCAAAGTATAATTTTTTAGTGAAAATTGAGATTGTGATAAAAATAAGTAATGTTTAATAAATTATGAATTGATTAATTTGATTTTTAAAAATTTAAATTACACTTTATTCTCTAAAATGCATCCGACCCATTATTTTTTAGGAAACAAATTCATTGACAGGCTTTAATTTTGGTAAATATATATAATATGGTTTACTAAGGAATATGTGTGAATTTTTTCAGGACTATACAGGTACAGAGTGGGCGATGTACTGAGGGTGGCTGGATTCAAGAACAAGGCTCCTCAATTCAACTTTGTTTGCAGGAAAAACGTTGTCTTGAGCATAGATTCAGACAAGACAGACGAGGTGGAGCTTCAAAACGCAATGAAGAATGCGGTGACACACTTGGTGCAATTTGATGCACATGTGGCTGAGTACACTAGCTATGCTGACACTACAACAATCCCAGGGCATTATGTGTTGTATTGGGAACTAAACTTCAATGGGTCAACTCCAATTCCACCCTGTGTCTATGAGGATTGTTGCTTAACCATTGAGGAGTCACTCAACAGCGTGTATCGCCAAGGCCGTGTCTCGGACAAATCAATAGGGCCACTTGAAGTCAAGGTTGTGAAACAGGGTACCTTTGATAAACTTATGGACTATGCTATTAGCTTAGGAGCTTCAATAAACCAATACAAGACCCCAAGGTGTGTTAAGTTTGCTCCTATTGTGGAGCTCTTGAACTCAAGGGTAACATCCAATTATTTCAGTCCTAAGTGTCCAAAATGGGTTCCCGGGCACAGGCAATGGATCAATCAGGGTTGAAGGAAGAATCTAGACATGGACATGTTAGGGAAAAGTTAATTACTTTATTTAGGCTAAATGTATGTTTAAATGCTTCTTTAATACCCCTTTTTGTTTCAATTTTTAGTTTGTGCTTTAAACTTGGGTAATGCTTAGTGATTATTGAATAGTGACCTCAACTCAGCCAATGTAAAAAGCAACTCATGTCTTTCTTATTATCCAGTTGAATAGCCTTTTATATTTTAAATTTATTTTTCTCTATTAGCCTTTCAATCTTTTTACCTTTCTGGCAATGAACATCATAACGATCGGTTGAAAATGAGTTTTACAATTGGAGCAAGCAATCATGCATGCCCAGTTGCCCCACTTGAAGTGGCATGGGGCTTATTTCCTATTACGGAAACGAGAAAGTCCTCACTCATGAACTTTCTTTTTCTATAGTTTTCAGGAAAAAGCATGCCAACTCTTCTCCCAGTGCCACTGTCTACGTCCAGCTAATCAATCAATAAAATATAATTCAATACTAAATTATTAAAAATATTATGCAAAATTAACCTGTTTCACTTTGGTTTACTCATTGAAGAAGCTATCATTCAATAAAAACAAAGAAAACTTATCATACAAAGATTTATGACATAAATCTTATAAAAAAATTAGTTAAAATAAAATAAAAACAAAGAAAATGGATAGATGTAAACAGGCATTGTGACATGTCTGTTTAATTTTATGTCCATTGTTCATCTTAGTGGGAGAAAGAAAATGGATAAATGTAGCACTAAAAAATCTTGATAAGTCCCTCGTGAATGACGATAGCCGAGAATGAGTCCTATTTCCTCCCTCTCTCCTGATGTCTCTTTAACATATAGTTGTTGTGTCAGATTTTGTCACTAAATCAAGGAACTAAACCCATGTGTGAGTATTAAATTAAATGAACAGGGGGGACTTACGTTCAAGGTTCAACATTTTTCTCTAATAATTCCAAAACCAAACAAAACGCATTGAGTCCTTGTTGCGAAATCTGTTTTTACTACTATTTAGGGATGAAAATTTGAAAATAGGTGAAATTTCAGTCAATTTTATAATATTTTATTATATTTTTACCTTTAAAAAGTGCTTCTAAATAGTAATTTTAATTGTTGTACTCTTTAAATATTTATATTTAAATTTGTTACTCGTACTTTAATTAAAAGATACATAATTTAATTTTCCTTTAATGAACCTATTTTTTTATATACTATCGTAACACAAATTCAATGCATGTTGAAAGAATTGGACGGCCTATAGGGTCATTTTTCTTTTCAAAATATCTGCTTCCACAGTTACGCTATATAAATTTATTTATTTATTATCGTGTTTTATATTATTATGTTATGCATTAATATTTAAATATTCCTAATTTAATAAAATTTCATTAATATTGTAAATTTGGTTCTTAAAAATTGTTTATTATATTTTTATATCGTGAAAATTGAATATATATATATATATATATATATATGAAAAATAATATTCTTCCATGAATGTAAATTTAAAAAATTTATCATTTAATCTGAACCTTTTTATTTAACAAATATTTAATAATTAATAAAATAATAAATTATAACTCATTAAATATAAATTAAATAAAAAATTTAAATTAAATATAAAAAAAAATTTACCTCTATATTATATTATATATATATATATATATATATATGACCTAATTTATATCCTTCAGACAATCTTCAAATTGAGTTAGACCAAATTAAAATAAGACCCAAAACTTGAAAAACATATAAGAAGTTATTTGGATCAGTTTATATAATAAACTCAACCCACCTCTTGCACCAGCAATAGAATCAAGCGAAAGTAACAAAACATGAATCTAAATTTCTTAACAAAGATGATTTAATAAAAAAAATTGTTTCAAGTATATTTTTTAAAAAAAACATATAATTAAGATTTTTTTTCACACGATAATGCCTTGGAGCCGTATATGATGTGAGTGTCGCACTCTGCACCCAGCAAGAATCAGCCCCATCTATGTTCTTATCATAAAACATCGCCAGGAAAACACAGAAGTAGTCAAAAGAAGAAGGAAGTTCTTGGATTGTAGTAGGTAAGAGGAGATCAGGGAAGAATCATAGCGTGGTTTTCTGTTTGCTATTTTATGTGAAAACAAACAAGAACAGTTTTTGTTTTTCAAGGGTCTCCCGGACATAATCATGCACTACCTCAGACAATTTCGGAAGAAAGAGACAATAATTTTCAGAGACAAATTGTATGCTTAGATGGATAAGGCATTGAAAAATGCGTGATGCGTATATTTTTTTCAATTACGTCACTTAATGTTCATGTATTTATAGCTCAAGATTTATATTTTACACTGATGACAAAGTCTTTTCTAACACTAATTTTTTTACAATCTAAAAATTATATTAACAATTATCCATTTATAAAACACAAATGTTAAGCGGCAAAGAAGATAAGGTTCGTACTATTCATTCATGTTCATATCGTTTTCAATTTCCCCACTGCTCTACATGTCCACATTCCAAGAAAATTCTAAAAGTAAAATTCCACCTCGCTCATAAGCCATAACTGTAGTACATCTTTTTGGAAGAAAGAGTGAATATACTTACAGTGTTATTCTAATTTTCTTAACCAGTATTATAAGGATATTGAATGGACATTCCTCTTGATTATAACTTATATTTGAAAGTAATAAGATGTTTATATATAAAAATAAGAAAAAATTCTACCGTATAATCATACTAAAGGGGGAAATTATGATTGAATTTCCTAACTAGAATGATGAGAATGCATGTATTGGGCGCCAAATAAGATCAGACGAGTTGATGCTTTTGAATATTTTGTAATAATCGCACTGAGTCGGCAGATGGCATGTCTCCAAAGTGATTTCCAAGTACTGCCTTTAATGTGATGTTGAAATCAATCCAATTTGTTGTTTGTCGTACTGGAAGGCAACGCGTGCCATCATATAAGAGAAATGCTTTTTTTATATATTCAAATAATTATAACTATTCATTCATGCCACTATTTATTTTATTAATTATAATTTTTTAGTTCTTTTTTATTCTTTGCATGTGAAACAATTTTTATAATTTTATCGTTTTTCTTCGGCGAATAAACCATAGAGTTATTTTAGATAAAGCCAATACAATTTCTATAATTATTTTAACTTGATACTACTTATACAATGCACAAAATTCTAATATATTTCAAACACACACTCATACTTATACGTGTATTCTTAATCGATTTATATATATTTCCGATTGTTTTGGTTAAAGTGCTTATAAATGCACATATACGGCCACAAAGTTCTTACGGCATTAACTAGGGCATCCGATAACACTGTAGAATTGATTTAAGTGGGCAATACTGTGGATATACTTACTATAAACAAGTGGGTAATCTTCTCCCGAAAGTAAAAAGCTTAAATTTCAGTTAATGAATGTCATAAATTGGGCTAGTCCATTTAAAATATTGTTCTTAGGTCTTGTTACATTAAGATATGATTATCAAGAAACAACCAAAGACAATTTTTCTAATGTACCAAAAAAAAAGACAAGTGGGTAATCTTCTCCCGGAAAGAAAAAGCTCAAATTTCAGTTGATGAATGTTTTAAATTGGGCTAGTCCATTAAAAATAAAGATTTGATCGAGTTCTGTCCTTGCTATTTTTAAGTATTTATTGTTATAAAAAATGTTTTATTTTACTTTATTTCACTCTAAAATTTGGTTTTCTATTTTGATCATTTGAAATCTTCTAAAATTGATTTTTGTGCGAAATCCATAGAGAATTTGTAAGAGTTCTGTTCAGAATTTCATCTAAAATTGACAAATATTTTAACAGAGTTTATCATTTATAAATTAAAATATTAGTTTTAAATTTTCCAAATTTTTATACTCGTTAAATAAAATGCTAGCAATCATTATTAGAATGATAATGTTTTTAGTGTGTTAAAATTATAATTAGTTAAAATATATAACAATTTGCTTCTAAATAATATTATATGTGCTTTTTTATTCTTTGTGCAATAATCTCAAATGACAAATAATTTATGAAACAAGTAATAATATGTTCAACTTTATAAAAAATAATTTAAGGAAAGCATTCTATTAAAATGATATGGATAAATAAGGAAGACAGAGAAGAGAGAAAAAGACACGTCTGTAAATATTAGGATAATAATTTTTTGACATCTTATATTTTCATCTATCTAAGTCAATCAAATGTAGTATCTTATTTGTATTTTATATATATATATATTTTTTCACATTTCAGTCAAAACATAATTTAAAAAGTATTTAATTATTAAAGTTAAATTTTGACTCATTATAAATAAAAGTTTTTACATTATCAATTAATTATAGTATATAATATATATGAGTTTTTAATTATATATTAAACTTAATTACACGATTAGTCTTTAGTGTGATTTAACTATTTAAATTTTAATTACTTATATTTAATCCATCTAATTTTTAAATTGTTTAAATTAAAATTGTAGTTCTAAAATTTTATTTAATAAGTAATAAAAATAGAATGCTCACATAACATATTATTAATTTCTATAGATTAATAAATAAAAATATTTTAAAAATTTAAATGAAATATATACACTTTAATAAAAGATTACTTTATTTTTATTTACTTTTTTATATATATAAATTTATATAAATCAGTTATTATTATATACTTATTATATATTTATCAATTATTATATAAATTTTTTAAATATAAAATTTAATGTGAACAATTTAAAAATTGACAAGATTAAATATGAATAAATGAATTTAGAAGAATTAAAATTATACATAAGTTAAAGTTGGACACTAAAAGTGTAATTAAGTATAATTATTTTTAAAAATAATGATTATCAATAATATGATCATTTATACTTAAATAATATTATAAAAAGTTTTATATTATTAATATATTTTAATTATTATTAAAATGAATTAAAGTATCTTTTGTGTTTTTTATTAATTATTTTAATCCTATTTATAGGATAG